CCCAGGGGGCGGCGAGGTACTGAGGTAATTCGCGTGGGACCCACCTCCGCTGGGCTTCCCAGGAGCCCACGACAGTTGCGCTGATCGCAAGCACTCAAAGGGGCGGCGAGGTACCGAGGTGATCCGCGTAGGACCCACCTCCGCTGGGCCTCCCAGGAGCCCACGAAAGCGGCAACAATTGCGCAGATCGCAAGCCCCCCAAAGGGGCGGCGAGGTACCGAGGTGATCCGCGTGGGACCCACCCCCGCTGGGCCTCCCAGGAGCCCACGAAAGCGGCGACAGCTGCGCAGATCGCAAGCCCCCCAGGGGGCGGCGAGGTACCGAGGTGATCCGCGTGGGACCCACCTCCGCTAAGCCCCCCAGGAGCCCACGAAAATGGCGACAATTGCGCAGACCGCAAGCCCCCCAGGGGGCGGCGAGGTACCGAGGTGATCCGCGTGGGACCCACATCCGCTGGGCCCCCAAGGAGCCCACGAAAGTGGCGACAATTGCGCAGATCGCAACCCCCCCAGCGGCCGGCGAGGTGCCGAGGTGATCCGCGTGGGACCCACCTCCGCTGGGCCTCCCAGCGGCAACAATTGCGCAGATCGCAAGCCCCCCAAAAGGGCGGCGAGGTACCGAGGTGATCCGCGTGAGACCAACCCCCGCTGGGCCTCCCCGGAGCCCGCGAAAGTGGCGACGGCTGCGCAGATCGCAAGCCCCCCAGGGGGGGGCGAGATACCGAGGTGATCCGCGTGGGACCCACCTGCGCTGGGCCTCCCAGGAGCCCAGGAAAGTGGCGACAATTGCGCAGATCGCAAGCCCCCCAGAGGCCGGCGAGGTACTCCGCTGGGCCTCCCAGGAGCCCACGAAAGTGGCGACAATTGCGCAGATCGCAAGCCCCCCAGGGGGCGGCGAGGTACCAAGGTGATCCGCGTGGGACCCACCTCCGCTGGGCCTCCCAGGAGCCCACGAAAGCGGCGACGGCTGCGCAGATCGCAAGCCCCCCAGGAGCGGCGAGGTAGCATGGTGATCCGCGTGGGACCCACCTCCGCTGGGCCTCCCAGGAGAGGAGCCCACGAAAGTGGCGACAATTGCGGGCCGGCGAGGTACCGAGGTGATCCGCGTACGATGTACCTCCGCTGAGCCTCCCAGGATCCCATGAAAGTAGCGACAATTGCGCAGATCGCAAGCCCCCCAAAGGGGTCGGCGAGGTACCGAGGTGATCCGCGCGGGACCCACCCCCGCTGGGCCTCCCAGGAGCCCACGAAAGTGGCGACAATTGCGCAGATCGCAACCCCCCCAAAGGGGCGGCGAGGTACCGAGGTGATCCGCGTACGATGTACCTCCGCTGAGCCTCCCAGGATCCCACGGAAGTAGCGACAATTGCGCAGATCGCAAACCCCCCAAAGGGGCGGCGAGGTACCGAGGTGATCCGCGTGGGACCCACCTCCGCTGGGCCTCCCAGGAGCCCACGAAAGCGGCAACAATTGCGCAGATCGCAAGCCCACAAAGGGGCGGCGGAGATGGGGGGGGCCGGTACCGAGGTGATCCGCGTGGGACCCACTCCAGTGGCCTCCAGGAGCCCCACGAAAGGTGGCGACAATTTGCGCAGATCGCAAGCCCACAGAGGACGGCGAGCGAGGTCCCATGGTGATACGCGTACGATGTACCTCCCGCTTGGGCTCCACAGGAGCCCACGAAAGTGGGCGACAATTGCCGCATGGATCGCAAGCCCCGGCAGGGGCGGCGATGGGCTTGTGCGTGATCGCGTGGCAACCAGGATTCTCCGCTGGGCCTCCCAGGAGCCCACGAAAGTGGCGACAGTTGCGCAGATCGCAGCCCGACGGCACGAGGGAAGAGGAGAGGGGAACACCGGAAACAGGAGAGAAGGAGGAGGGGAGGAGAGGGGAGGAGAAGGAAGGAAGGAAGGAAGGAAGGAAGGAAGGAAGGAAGGAAGGAAGGAAGGAAGGAAGGAAGGAAGGAAGGAAGGAAGGAAGGAAGGAAGGACGGGGCGACCACACTGCTCCATTCAAAACGAGTACCCAACACAGGAGGGCTGGGAAAAGAAAAAAATACCCGCCTGTGAGTAACAAACAATTTCTAATCTGTGGCGACTATACTCAGGACCACCAAGGCGACTGGCATCTGCAAGGACCCGGCAATTTGCGCAGAAAGAGCAACCCAACAATGATCCATAGAGGCAGCCAATAAGTCCGTGGTGATCCGCTTATGACGACCTCCGCTGCGGCTCCCAGGAGCCCAGAGCTCACGAAAGTGGACGACAGTTGCGCAGTCAAATCGCAAGCCCACCACGGTGCCGCGCGAGGATCACATGGTGAGTCCGCGTATGACGTACCTTCCGAGAGCCGCCTCCCAGGAGCACCCACGAAAAGTGGAGACGGTTTGCGCCGATCGCAAGCCACACCAGGGAGGGCGAGGTCACCGAGGGTGATCCCCCCCGGTGGGATCCCACCTCCGCTGGGCCTCCCAGGAGCCCACGAAAGTGGCGACAATTGCG